AGGTGAGATTTGTGCTGTGTGAGTTTGTTTTTCCTCTGATGGGCAAGGCTGAGTGAGGTGGTAATCCTGTCTGTTGATGATTGGGTTTGTGTTTTTGTTTTGTTTGTTGCTTAGATCAGGTGTCCTGCACAGGGTGCTACTGTTGGTTGGGTGATGCTGGGTCTTGTATTCAAGTGGTTTCCTTCGTGTAACTTCTCACTGTCTGATACTCCTCAGGGTTACTTCTCTGGTGGTCTAGGGTTTGGAGTCAGTGCTCCCACTCCAAGGGCTCACGGCTTGATCTTCGGTCAGGAACAAAGGTTTCACAAGTGGCTTGTTATGGCATTAAGTGAGATTAAAACAAATACCCCAAAATGAGAAACCAAAGATGAACCCCAGAAAATGGCAGTTACAAAATCAGGCAGATAATAATTAAAATAATGGAATATACACACACACATATATATACACACCTATAAGTGAAATCAAAGCAGTCCAACAAAAACAAAGTACAATAGATTGACCCGGCAAACAAAGAAAACCAAAAATTATATCTACCAGTTAAGAACAAGAAGATTAAAAAAGGAAGAAGAACAAGAAGATTCTTTTTTAATTTATCCAGTTAACATTTTTTTTTCCCTAAACTAGTGAAGAGCACTAAAAATAAATCACTCCTCTTCTCCTTCTCCCATTCACTCTTATTAATTTTACTTCGCAAGAGTGGAAACATAAGACATGCTTTGAAGAGTTATTTTTGTTCTGTGGCACTAAAATCTAGATTAGGAAAATAAATATGGGTCTGGAGATGCCAAACCTGTCCTCAAATATTTGGGAAGACAAAGAAGTAAGTGAACAGTTGTGATAAAAGGTAAAGTTCTAACTCTACTGGCTATCTATTTTACTTATGGTAATGTATATGTTTCAGTGCTATTCTCTCTCTCTCTCTTTTTTTTTTTTTTCATTTATTTTTATTAGTTGAAGGCTAATTACTTTACAATATTGTAGTGGTTTTTGCCGTACATTGACGTGAATCAGCCATGGATTTACTTGTGTTCCCCATCCTGATCCACTCTCCCACCTCCCTCCCCATCCCATCCCTTTGAGTCTTCCCAGTGCACCAGCCCTGAGCACTTGTCTCATGCATCCAACCTGGGCTGGCAATCTGTTTCACACTTGATAATATACATGTTTCAATGCTATTCTCTCAGATCATCCCATCCTCTCCTCCTCCCACTGAGTCCAAAAATCTGTCTCCTTCACTGCCTTGCACATAGGTACCATCTTTCTAGATTCCATATACATGTATTAATATGCAAACTTTGTCTTTCTTTTTCTGACCTACTTCACTCTTCACTGTATAACAGGCTTAACCTGGAGGGATGGAGTAGAAGGGAGCTGGGGGAGGGGGTTCAGTAGGGAGGGGACACATGTGTGCCTATGACTGATTCATGTTGATACATGCAAAAACCATCACAATATTGTAAAGTAATTATCCTCCAATTAAATAAATTTTTTTAAAAGGTGAAGTTCACGTAAGTTCAAAGAGCTGTATTCTCACTGAGGAGGAGTCTAAAGAGCTCAGTTCTAAGGGACCCAGAAGGTTTGCCATAAAAGGGGGCAGCATCTGCTTAAGAAAATTGCACAGCGGTTAGCCTCTGAAGAATAAAGAGGCATAAGGAAACACAACTTACAAGAATAAGTAGTTTAGTAGAACCAAATTTGTTAAAGGCCAGGACCCAGAGCTGCAGAAAATAGTGTTCTCTCCCTCCCTCCATCCTTCCCTCCTTCCATTTTCCTCTCCCTCCATCCTTTCCCCCCTCCACCCTTCCCCCACTCCATCCTTCCCTCCTTCCATCCTTCCCCCCCTCCATCCTTCCTCCCCCACATCGTTCCCCCGCCTCGCTCCTTCCATCCCTTCCTCCCTCTCCCATTCCAGTCCAAAATCAGCCACCTAGCTGATAATTCAAAAAACAACTCTGCTGCTTGTCCAGCTGAATGCAAGAGCTCACCTCTCAGTTCACTTTCATTTGTTCTTCAGAGTAAATGTGTTCTGTTCATTGCCATGACCACAGGGAGAACTTGTCTCCTGGTAGCAATTCTATTTGGTTTTCATCACCTAGAAGAGAAAGTTAAAAGGTCAGCAAGCCCTGAACAAAGGTTAATGATACCAACATTTTAAAATGGCAATGAAATCAGGCAATAACCATCAATTCCATAGTCAAATGAATATCAGAATGTGACAAGTAACTTAGTTAAACAGCATCTGCTTGATATCATTCTTCTAATCTTCTCACTCCCTAGTTGCCTGTTCTTCTCAGTAAGTTCAATTCAGTCACTCAGTCATGTTTGACTCTCTGCCACCCCATTGACTGCAGGATGCCAGGCTTCCCTGTCCATCACCAAATCCTGGAGCTTACTCAAATTCATGTCCATTGAGTCAGTGATGCCATCCAGCCATCTCATCCTCTGTTTTCCCCTTCTCCTCCTACCTTCAATCTTTCCCAGCATCAGGGTCTTTTCAAAAGAGTCAGTCTTTACATCAGGTAGCCAAAGTATTGGAGTTTCAGCTTCAGCATCAGTCCTTCCAATGAATATTCAGGCTGATTTCCTTTAGGATTGACTGGTTGGATCTCCTTGCAGTCCAAGAGACTCTCAAGAGTCTTCTCAAACACCACAGTTCAAAAGCATCAATTCTTCAGCAGTCAGCTTTCTTTATAGTCCAAATCTCACATCCATACAGGACTACTGGGAACACCATAGCTTTGACTAGATGGACCTTTATCAGCAAAATAATGTCTGTTTTTTAATATGCTGTCTAGGCTGGTCATAGTTCTTCTTCCAAGGAGCAAGCGTCGTTTAATTTCATGGCTGCAGTCACCATCTGCAGTGATTTTGGAGCCCCCCAAAATAAAGTTTCTCACTGTTTCCCCATCTATTTGCCATGAAGTGGTGGTACTGGATGCCATGATCTTTGTTTTTTCAGTGTTGAGTTTTAAGCCAACTTATTCACTCTCTTCTTTCACTTTCATTAAGAGGCTCTTTAGTTCCTCTTCATTTTCTGCCATAAGGGTGATGTCATCTGCATATCTGAGGTTATTGATATTTCTCCC